AATTCAGAATCAGTTATTTTTTATTTTCGGTCCCAAAAACTTTTCATTATTCCGAACCCCTCAAACAATAGCTGATTCTGAATAATTCCCCGAACACTTTTCATTAATCCGAACCCCTCCATTAAAAAGGGTGCCACATTATATAGGGGATTATATAGGGGACTACTATAGGGGTTATTAAGGGGGATACTAGGAGTTTAGACAATGGCTCATATATATATACATACAGGGTTTAGGGCTTAGGGTTATATACATATATATAGTATTTTCCCCTTCGAACCCCCTTTAAGGAAGTTAGACCCTAAACCCCAAACCGCGTGCTCAAAAGGGAAGTGGGGGAGTGAACAAATGGGATTACTACAGGCATATAGATGGGGTCCATGTATCAGCTATAGTCTCAACTCCCTAAAGGGGGTCATAGAAGGGATTCTATATAGGAGCACTACTAAGGAAGATACTATGAGTGTAGCTTATGGCTCATGTAGGTATTATTATGAGGATCCACACCCCCACTCTGCCTTAAAGCCGGGCTTTACACCCTTGCGGGTTCAGGGTTAGTAGTTAGCCCAACCCCCCGCCCCCCCCTCAAAAACAAGAATGAGCCCTAGAGCTGCCATGTGTCGATAACAGCGTATTCACTTTTGGGAGTTGGGGCTACCAGAATTTCATTAGTCAAGGATTTTTGGGCTCCGGGCTGAGGGAAAGTGATTATCTAGGGGGATATATGCGAGAAGGTTTAGGGTTTAGGGTTTAGAGGAATGAAAGAGAACATGGAAGTTACTGTTTGTTAATCTCATAGCCCTCGGCAATCCGATGTTGGGTAGGATGCAGTCTGCCGCAGCAAGAAGCCCGAGAACAGAAGCCTAAGCAATCTGCCTGCTGTTGCTCACCCAAAAGCCCTTAACCGAAACACCCTAAACCCTAGGCCCTAAGCCCCAAACCCTGCAAAAACCTGCAACCCTAAATCCTAAAGCATCTTTACATGCTCAGGAGGACTATGTTGGCCGCAGTCCTTGAGCCTGGCAACACCACAAAAATCTGGCTTTTCGGCGGAGAACTCACGGGGCAGCAGTTCTCGCAGGAGCTTCATGTGAGCTATAGTCTAAACTCCTTAAAGGGGGGTTATATAGGGGGTTATATAACGGACTACTATAGGGGTTATTAAGGGGGACACTAGGAGTTTAGACAATGGCTCATGTGAGCTATAGTCTATGCTGTCTATACTGGTTAAAGGGGGGTTATATAAGGGATTATATACGGGACTACTATACGGGTTGTTAAGGGGATAGTACGTAGGAGTTTAGACTATGCTTAGGGTCTCATGGGTCAAAACAATAGCGAACAAGACTGGGAGCCTTCGTATCCTCAGGCAAGAGATTTTGAACCATCATGTCGAAGGTGTAAGCGTGAGTTGGGCGCTCAGGATCCGTCCGAAAACGTACATGCGTACATTCAGGGTATACGCCCGCGCCCTAAAACCAACACGCTAACCCATGCCGGATGTCAATTCTTTACTTGCTGATTTCGCTGTCAATGTCCCTGCAGTCCACCCGTCTTTGAGAAGTTCCAAATGTTTAGAGCCGGATCAGTCCTCATCAGTACCCCCATGGCAGGGTTGCTCGGTCCTCGGGCTGTATGTGGCCTATTGCAGGTATGCCCTGAACCCAGTAGGAACATAATAGGAATATAAGGATCCTAGTAGGTATATTCCATTCTATCCTTGCTATATTCTTGGGGTTCCCTGTTTGGCGTTCCCATCATAATCCTCCTACAGGACCTCCTCTGCCTGGACATCCAGGCAAACAGTTGGACAAACTGGACTCAGCAGGAGGGGCCAGGGCCGCGCCGCAGCGCTACTGCAGGCTTCTCACAGAACCAGAGGAAACTCAGCATCGTGATGAGTTTTGGGGGGTCCTATGCAAATGGGGTTAGGGGTTAGGGGATATCTATATATACTTGTATATGTATTTATACATACGCATACATACGCATACATACATACATGCATGCATGCATGCATTACAAAGTTTTTGTTTTGTCTTTAGGGGTATGAACATGGTTTCCTTCTGTTTGGAAACTTGAGTGTACTGCAGTTCTTGAACCGAAGAAAATCCTTCTCCTGAAAGAATCCGCCCAATCCTTTGATCATGAGTGGTCTGACAATTCGTTTTGGTAGTATACAGACAATGCTGCTGTCATTGCTGGGTTGGCGGCCTTGCTGTTAGGGACATGTTCGCAACTAGTCGTATACATGATTTTTGATAACTCATTACTCTTCACATGCATCACTCTCGCCTGATGACGGAAGCTGTTCTGCAGGATCATCAAAGTTATTCTTTGGCGCAAGGGCAGCTGGAGAATATTTCGCCCAACATTCAGTATGTACCGCGACTCATGGGGTCCCTTCCAAAGGAGTTTAAAGAAGGCATTCAGCAACCCTCAAAGTAATTCCGCTTGCCACAAAGAAACGTGCATAATGTATCAACAGCAACTATTGTGCACAGGGTGGGATAGTCTTCGTTCATCATTTGGTGCTGAATTACTGTATGACACGAAAGCAGCCTAACTTGGCTTGTTTGGCTTCCAAGAACTACGGAGGAAGATCTGGATCCATGGTGGATACTTCTACGATGGATCTGTCGTGAGGTACTCGGACGTGTGGGCCTATGACATCCAGTTCGACACCTGGACAGAAGCCGTAAGTTCATCGAGCATGCAGCGTTACAATCATGTGGCAGCGATGGATTCGAGTGGCCGGCTGTGGACCTATGGCGGGACGTATAGCAGCGTAGTGGACACCGTACATGTCTTCATCACCGAACCTGCGACCACAACCACAGTGACCACTACTACAGTGACCACTACTACAGTGACCACTACTACAGTGACCACAGCTACAGTGACCATAACCACAGTGACTACAACCACTGTGACCACAACCACTGTGACCACAACCACACTTACTCCCACCACCTTACCCAACCTCGGGGACGTGGCGGAAGCCGTCCTAGCCTTGGCTTCAATCGAAGAGACCCAGCGCCAGGCCTCCACCACCCTGGCCATGCAAGTGGACAACACCACAGCGGATGCTTACTGGGGGTTAGCAGGAAATGTGGTAGTATATTAGAAGTAAAGGGACCATGTAGGGATTATATTCCTTTATACCCTACTAAGAACCACTGAGGATGGTCTGCTTGAGAGGCAGGACTCGGCAACTTTTGGGATGGTCATTACCAAGGCGTTGGCTTCTAGGAGCACTTCTTTCAACATCAACTTTGGGGATGTTGAAGTGGAGCTACCTGGACCTCTACTTGAAGGCATCCAGTGCAGGTTTGACAGTAGTTTTGGGTGGTTTAGGGTTTAGGGTTGAGGGGTTTGGGTTTCTTTGCATGTATTGTTCTTGCAGGGCTTCAATTTGCTGTAATACCCTCCGCCCGCCAAAACAAGACTTCTTCTTAGGACACGCAATGCTTTACACTAAAGCCTACACCCAAGGTACCCCACCCGGTGGTGTTTGGGGCATCAGCGCAGCCCTTCTCACGGAGAACAGCAGCGCTTTCCAGCTTTTTGCCTCCGATCGGCTCTTTGCTCAACCCATGGTGAGCTTGGAGCTTTACTACAATCTAGTAGAGGCGCATACCTTTCAAAGCGGGTTTCGGGACTAGGGTTCCGGCATTGATTAGGGTTTAGGGATTAGGGTTCAGGGATTAGGGTTCAGGGATTGTTGCCATTGCTTAGGGTTTGGGGGCGGATGTTTGAGTTCAGAATTTAAGCTTAAGGAACTGTGGGAACCCTAAGCAATGGTAAATACATACGGGATTGAGGCTTCAGGGATCAGAGTATGGAGTTTAGGGTTCCGAGCCCAGGTTTTAAACCAGGACGTAGCTGAAGTGCAAACAAGGATACCTCCAAGAAGGATGGAAGCATGACTCCAGCCGACCCTAACCTGGAACCGCAAGCTCCAAAAAAGAAAGAGGTTCTATTTACCCCAACCCCTATACAAAGAGCCCTGTTGCTACCATATGACTCCGTAGGGTTCAATTTTTAGGAGGTGGGGTAACTAAAATCTCTCGTTAACCTTCAAGCCCAACCCAGGAACGTTATATCCTAACCCAAACAGATAGATACATAGCCCCCCGTATTCTATACCCCCCCTGAAAGGACCCAAAGCCGAAGCAACCAGGTACAGGAACTTGAGCCCTAAACTTTAAGCCCTCTAAATCCTGACCCCAAAACCCCCTACATCCTAACCCCTAAATCCTAGCCCCCCGAAATCCTATCTCCTCAAACCCTAAAAAACCAGGTACAGGGCCAGCTTCCAGAGAGTATCCTCCTCAGCTTTCCCGTTCCCGCGTTGCCAGGCTCGGTCCGCTCCTAGGCCTGTTTTCAGCAAATGAGCTATAGTCTAAACTCCTGAATGGGGGGGTTGTATAGGGGATAATATAGGGAATTACTATAGGGTTTATTAAGGGGGATACTAGGAGTTTAGACTATGGCTCAAATGGGGGCC